TTAGCTGTTAAATGTGGGCTTACCCATGAATAACTGCTGATACAATCTGCTATACCCTGCTGTACACAAGTAGAATTTGAGAAGAATAATGAGTTTTCTCTTTGATTTCAATGTGGTTTGAAAAAAAAAAAAAAAAAAAAAAAAAAAAGACTGGTAGTTTGCTGTAAAAATACTTGAGAGGATACCCTTGACTCAGCCAAATAGCTTAACACAAATTTAAACAATATCCATGCCCCAAGAAAGCAGTCATTAATCTCCTCCTAATTTTAGCACAATTCATGCTTTAGTTAAATACCTGGGAAGCTGTCTTGTGTTGAGTTTGGGAGCAAAAGAGAGGCAAAGGGGAACCCTGGAAAGGGAGGAAGGGTTGGTAAGAAAATGTTCAGCTGCACGTCCTGCAAAGTTTGCAGAGTAATGAGCCCCATCAATCATATTTATTAACTCAGTAACTTAGGGGTTTGGCTCTCTTAAGTAGCTATACTATCTATGGAGCATATCCACTTTTTGTGGCACTCAAACCATACACTCTGATCCACAAAATCAGGCTGGCACTTGGTATGGTTCCTCCTTTGCCAATTTAGTGCAGGATCTGAAAATGCCACTTGTGGCTTAGTCCACTTAGCCTCCCGTGGCACCAGTCATAGACTAAGCCGGCAACGGAAGAAACTACGCTGCACGGAGAGACTGAGACCAAACAATATTAAAGTTTGGGAAAGTGCTTCTTTCCTTCCCCAAGTCACAGGATGGAAGAAGGGACATATAACCCAATACAATTAGTTGTGCTGAAAATGAAGTTCTGGGAAACTATTCAGATGAAGACAATATTTCTTATCAAACAAAGGGCTCAGGTACCCAGCTTTTAGGGAACAAAGGACAGAAGGGCAAGTAACCAGAAAGATGGACATCCTGAGTGACTATCTTCCTCCTCAGTAGTATGCTTACTGTGGCTGCATATCCCAGCCCTCAGAAAGAAGTGAATGCTTTCCCTCAGGATTAATGTTCCTTCTACCTACGTGTTTGCTAAATGATACAGGGAGCTCAGGAACAAGCAGGAATAGCAGTCCTGTTCTCATAAAACGTTGTCATTTTTGTACGAGGTTTATCACAGTTCTCTAACAACTGTTTAACTTTCTCACCGCATTTTTTTTTTTTTTTTTTTTGGACATCTGGGCTTGGAGGATGGAACTGTATTCATAAAAGAAGAACAGTACCTATTCTCCTATATTGTTTAAACTGCTTTCAGGAAGTAATGTAATTCTTTAAGAAGTTGTATTTACAACTAAAAGAGTGCTATTACTCTTCAAGAGTAATGATGATGTTACTATTTTTAGAATATTGGGGTAGGTTGGCACTGAGCCATTCACATGTTTTTATTCTTTATTTTTTCTCACACCAAATATGTATTGAGCAACTGTCATTGCCTAAGAAAGCACCGGGATATAAACATAAAGAATACAGTCCCTGTCATATAAGGTTCCCCTTATAAACTGGGGAATATCAAAAATTCAGTCTGTCTACCAAATACAGTTTTAATACTGCCTCTGATAAGACAGCCAAAATTTATTAGCATCAAATTAATGACCATGGCTTTTAGTCCTATTTACTTTAGTATGGTCAATAAGAGAAGGAATAACTCTTACGTCTGGGCTCCCTCTACTTTAATAATGGAGATAACACGGCTCATTAAATGTTTTTAAATATTCAGCTAAGGGGGATCCCAGGCAAATCAACAGATAATGACCTTCATTGTCTATGAGTCAGAAATCAGCCCACATTGCCCTCGTGTCATATAAACATTGTTTCCCACATTATAGTAAGAGTAATGTTCATATAGCCTCTGAATATAACTGATGTGAAAAATGGATGAAACTATTTCTTGAAATTGTATGTTTCTTAGTTTTAACTGAGCTATAAATCTCAGCATTTCACCAAGCCTAACTCAGAAATACCCTTTAAGTAAAATAAAAGCTAGTATAGCTATTCATTCAATCTTTAAAAAGCTACTTTATACCAAACCAATGCAGTGTGCAAATACAGAACTTAATTAAAATACTATATATAAAATATTAACAGCTGTAGTTATTAAAATTACATTAAGCTCCCTTGAGCTAGGCCAACATAAGGAGCTCTCTTTTTTTTTCAATTTAGTAAAGGCAGAACTTGGTTTAATGAATGAGCATTGGTTTTTATACTGTTTGTTCCAATTCACTAATCTGAAATAATAATCGAATAAAAGTACTTTACCATCAAAACACAACCAAGCATACTAAATCTTTCCATTGGATTCTGACAAAAATCTCACATTTTGTTTATCTTCTTTCTTACTGCAAATAACACCTATTTAAGGCATCTCTTTCTTCTTCCTATCCAGCATTGAACTTTGTAAATTAAAGTTGATATTTTCTGCTCTGACCTTTTCCAATGAGGGTATAAACAGGGGAGTTAATAAACTTTTGCTTATTTGGATGAATTAAAGAGCTCAAACAGCAAAAGTAGATTTTCCTCGGCTTGAGGATTAAGGTATTTATCTGATCCTTATTGTAACAGGTCATCCAAGGAACACAGGAAACTAATTAATTGCACCACCACTTAAGACTGGCAAAAAATATCCAGGTATAAATCATCATTATCAAATGAATAATGAATGGTTTTATTTTCCTTTTTATATCATTTTGCATTCACTAAAATTTTGACATTAACTGTGTATTTCTTCATATAGTTAGAAAATACCTCATTGATCTTAAGTGTAGTATTTTTTGCCCCTCTGAACTTCCAAAAGATATCCACTTAATTAAATTGCTATAAAGTCTGACTAAAATTATATATATTCTTAAAAGTCATTTTCAAAATTTTATTCTAGATGTATTTCAAGTCAAGTGATAACATCCATAAGTTAATATTTCAAAACACAAGATTAGTCCGTGTTCCCATCCTCCTTTTAAGTCTTCTGTCTGAAGGTTCTTAAGTAGCAAATTAACTGCTAACTCTGGCAGAAACAGGCTGGGCGAAGCCGAAGGGAGGCCATCTACTGCCATATTTCTGTATTCCTATCAATGAACTCTTCTCAGCTTAAATCAGAAAAACAAAGAGGAATCCAATTCCTAATGGAATCAGTATAGTACAACAGACAAAAAAAAAATCTTTTACTGTCTACTCTGTTATCTAATATACTGGAGAAAAATGACAACATAGCACAGATTGCACAGAACGGTAACTAATCTTCCTTTTGAACATCTTTAGGGAAATGAAAGAATGTAGGGAGACCAAGTTTCCCGAGAGGGATGAGTCAGAAACAGAATCTCCACGATATCTTGGGGATCAGAGTAATAGGTTCTGACTGTCCTTCAACTCTCCACCCTCACCCCTAGCCCCCTCCCAATTTTCATGCATTTCATCTCTATTTTAGTGGGCAAAAAAGATATCTTTAGGAAGGCAAACATGATCTTCTTGATCAATAAACAGGAAAAGAAGGCATGAATAACTGTAAACTAGGAAACTGCTCTGCTGCAGAGAAGCCAGAAATAAACAAGTGACACAGCAATCTGTGAAAGGAGTGCAAGAAGGAGAGCTCACCCCAGGGCTTCAGCATGGCCCTTCTAAACTAGGATGGTAATTACAGATTCTTGGATCTGAAAGAAGTACTAGGTGTCACCTGATCTGTGGTTCCCAAATTTGGCTGATCGTCAAGTCCCCCAGAAAGTTTTGCAAAAATATAGTCTGCTAGCCCCCATCGCTGTTGATCCCCTGTAACTGGGTCTAGGATCCACTGAATACTGGGTCCTTCCCAACATGCTTTACAAAGAAAGAAATCCAGGCCCATTAGAAAGTGCCTAGGCCAAGCTACCCTGCTATTTGGTGGAAAATCCAGAGTGAATGGTATAGTACAAAAGCAAATAAGGGAACTGGGGGAGAGAGGGGAGGAGACTGGCCAGGTTTATATTCAGCCGTCTTCAATTATAAGAAGATAACTCGATTTGTAAGTGAGAAGGACAAATCAGCATCAAAGCACAGGGAGAAGAAAGTAAAAGACATAATATATAGTTATGGACCTGAAACAAATGGCTTCTCTCTCTGTCTCCCTCTCTCGCTCTCTGGGTTTCCACAAATGCTATTTCCTTTGCCTGGATGACTTTTGCCCCCGCAGACCTAATGCTAGATGTATTTCAAGTCAAGTGATAACATCCGTAAGTTAATATTTCAAAACACAAGATTAGTCCATGTTCCCATCCTCCTTTTAAGTCTTCTGTCTGAAGGTTCTTAAGTAGCAAATTAACTGCTAACTCTGGCAGAAACAGGCTGGGGGAACTCCCTAAGCCCCCTAATCTACTTCCACATTTCAGAGTAAGTAAACGTTATTTCTTCAGGCCTTCCTTCCCCCACCTCACATGCACGACTCCAGAAAAAAGAAACGTGCAGCGAAAGGAAGCCAGAGAACTGAATTCCTGTTGGTGGAATTCCAAACCTCTTTCATCAGAAAGGGACGCTATTTGGAAGGCAGCGGAGTTTTGCCTGCATCCTTGAAATCCTACTGTATTGATCAAAGTGTTTTTGATACCATAGACCCACCTTGGATAAAAAAGGGTACTGTATTAAACTAAGGATTTTATATATGAAACATTGAAAATTTTTTCATATTTTATATTTGCCACTTCAAGCACCTCCAAACATCCAATGAGACAAGAGATAATTGGGAATACAAGAACACTGAATTTTGTCATTTGCAAATTCAAGATAAAATTTCTTGCAAGATTTGGCACTTGATTATCCATTTAATGTTCATTTAAGAAGCTATTCTAGAAGCCATTTGAGCATTTGGGGTTTGATGCCCAACTATGATGATTAATTAGCTCCTTCTGATTCTTTTATGATGTGAAACAGAAATAATAACAATTTCCTTTACCCTTAAGACAGAATTGCAAGAACTCTTTAATATGTCTTGGTTTTAATTCCTTAGGAGTGGTGTTCCAGCAGATAAACAGCATAAAAAAATGATAAGTTACCTGACCGTCCGTCTCTTTGGAAGTCCACATGATACCATTCTCCATCATTCACCTTCTTCTGCAGGGCTTTGATTTTGATTGTACCTGACCCCATGTCTAGGAGGAGGTAGAGGTGGCCATCCAGCATCTCAATAGCAAAGAAGTCAACCTTTATCATCTGTGGGTGCTTGGCATCTTTTTGGTGCCGTGGTTTGCCATGACTAAATAAGATGAGGCCATTTGGCTCTGTTGTGCGGAAATCAAATGATATGGAGCCTGTTTTCTTTGCATTCCATTTAGGCAAAGAGACGAAAGATTCTGGGGTTTCAAAGGTGATTGGGTCCAAAGTTGCAACATTCTCACATTTAAAGGCCACCACTCCATGAATCTTCATCTTTGGGTCTCCTTGCTTGGCAAGTCGAGATAATTCCAGCCTTACATCATTATTTTTATACACAACCTGTAGGCAGAGGATAGCAGTGAGAAACTGGACCCATATTTTAACGTTTTGAACTTGTCATCAGTTCATGTAATTTCCAAGTAGATTATGAAAAGACATACAATGTTTAGTGCCTTTTGATGTATAAGACAGCTTTTTCAGCCAAATAAAATCCAGGTAATCAATTTATTGAACATAACTATTCTAATCTAATTTCATTCAGATAATGTGTGTACACACACACACACACACACACACACACACACACAAAGTACCTGTAGTTAACTCAAATAACTTGAATAAATCTGCACAGAACTTCCATTATTCCAAGCATGTATAGAACCATTTGCTTTTGTTAGTTGGCTATTATGCTTTGTTTATTAAATATAAGTACTGAGGTTTTTCAGTTTTGCCATCACTAAAATATTTGAAATTAGATACTTTTGTATACCAGTAACCTAAAATACAGGATCTCTTCTATGGTCTATATATCTATGGTGCATATTAACTTTGTAAAATAATCACAAGTTGAGGTAAAAAACATCCTGAATTTTCTCAGAAAAATCATAAAATATGACTAAGATACAGAAGCTCTCTCTTGCCCTGCCCTGCATTAGTAACTGAATAATGTTAGCTAACTCTGGAACTTGGTGTTTATCCTAAATCCATTCAATCTATATTACTAATGTTCCATTTCACTTTTAATGTATACAAATGTGGAACAAAGTTTGTCCTGTACCCTCATTTCCAAAGGCACTTCATCTAAAGTGGCTGGGTAGTTCTCATTGCTTGTTAATAGTCCTAGGGCTTTTGGGGGACTCCAAATACCACTTTGGACAAATCCACTGGCAGGGGTCACAATACCATGCATCTGCTATCACATCACCTTAATAAATCCGTAGCTATTTCAACACAGAGATTCATACCCTTTCTCTACAAAATCCATACCATGGATAATTACATTTCCAAAAGATATGTCATACAGACTTAAGGATAAATTAGTTATCTATGTCCAGATAACTATCTAAATTCTTTTACGAAGGCACTCGAAATTTCACAGCAGCCAACACTGTCAGTTTCTAAATTCATTTATCCATGTATAAAAATATACTTGCATAACAGAAAAAATAAGCCTGTGTCTGATTAGTGCTATCAAGTTAACCAGGTCAAGACAGCTGTTATTTCTTCCAAACCCATGACCAATCAAGCCAATAGTGTGGCTGATTAATTTCCTGAAAGGATTTGTTAATGGATACTTTACTTTTTAGAGTGATTAAGAGTGCAAGCTCCAGTATCAGACTCCCTGAGCTCAAATTCCAGCTCTAGCACTACATAACTGTATGATTTTTGAGCTTTGTTTATAGAGATATAATACTTTACAGGATGGTTATAATGATTACAGAAGAAAATGCATGTGAGGAAATCTCCATGGCAAACAATCCAATGCCAAGCACATTGTAAGATTTTAATAAACGTCAACTACATCAAACTGCATGATAATAAATATCATCATCTCTTTATTATCATCTAGGAGACACAGATACATTAGTTCTAAATTAATCCATTATGAGAAAATGTTTAGAAATTAAGCACACTCATATAATTGGTGTTTTTTTACATGATTTGTGCCAACTAAATAAATCACATCTTTTCAGTGCTAGTCCTGGTGTTTCAGTTTACCTTTATCTTGAAGAAGGATTATTATAAAGAATACCATATCCCTTATTCTTTGAACAAATATGTATAAAGATTTAACAAGCATCTACTGACAACAAAAGAAGGGAAAATGAACTCAAGCAATAACAAAAAGGAATTAGATTAATTCTTAAACATACTTCCTAGAAAAGAGAAAGAGCTATTAAGCCTTGGGAAAGTTGATTTAGGATTGCCTTTCTTTGGGAATCTTCAGTAGTGGATAAAATGCTTTTCATGGATGATTTTCCAAGTTTTATAACCTCTCACCATGATCTTCGAGCTACCTAAACCTGTATATTTGTTTTCATTTTTTCCTGGTGATTTATATTTTAATATATGGATATTCCTTTGACATAGATATTGATCAGGAATGAGTATTTTCTGACCCAAATGATGCAGATGGTAATGCTGATCAATGCTAACACATCACCATGAGAGAACCACAGCGATGGAATTAGATGTTTCTGACATGAGCAAGTAGATATAAGGCAGGATATATTGCCTCATGAGTCCCACATCAGCTACCAAAAAGTTGAAAACATGTAGGGCTAGGGCAATTGTAGGTGAGAATTTCAGTGAGGGATTTATAATCTCATGAGTGAATTGGGTTCCCTGGTGATTCAGTGAGGTTCAGGGAGATGGAGAAGAAACGTAAGGATTCCCTAGATCACAATACTTAGGGTGAGCCATGCACCATCCCCTCACCCCTAAAAGGGAGTATGAATCTCCACTAGAATTTATGCTTTATGCAGGCAAAAACCTTACAACAAGATCACTACCTGGCACAGAGCAGACACTCAATACTTGCTGAGAGTTGAATAACATTCTTTCTTCACTTTTTTTTTAACCTAGTTCCCAGATTATAGACTATTATTAATAACAATCTTTACAAATATAGTTAAAATATAACAGAATGCAGTACTGTTGACCCATCTCATAATCTAGCTATAATTTTTAGCTAATTTCTCTAGGAAAGTGCGGAAACTTACGTACAAATGGCAAGTTGACCTATCACCTTCAAACTCATTTTATGGGGTGTAAACTACTTTTAGAGTAAAAACACCTGATTTAGAATTCTCCAGGGGTAGAATAATTTTCATAGAAGAACTATCTTGAGGAGAAGCACAGTGCGTTTTTTTTTCTTATTTTGTATTCTTTGAAAGGCAACTCTAGAAGACAGAAAGGCAATATTGGATAGGCAGGCTGATAGCTCTCAGATCTACATGACTGCCTCAGCTGACCCAGATTTCATAATCCCTCTACTTTTCTAAAGTTAAGACTTACTCTTAATATGACCTGAATATAGTTCAATTATAATAACAAGGAGTAGCCAGTAAGCACTCCAAATCTTTTTTTTTGCTTCTTTCTGAGATAATATGGTTTTCAATCATATATAATTATTCATATATCTTTTTTCTTATGTTAAAAATTGTAATTTATTTAATAGTTTCAACTTTCAACAAACCTCCTTACACTTTATCATCTTAACAATTGGTGATATTATTGCACACCTATTTGGATCTTTTTATGGAATCAGTATTTCTTTGTGGATACTGATTTTCAGTTTCTTTGAAGAGTAATTCAAAATGTTGAATTTCACTTCCCTGCTTCATGAAATTATATCATAAATCCCAAAGGAATAGAAACATAAAAGGCGTCTTGGGTTTTCTGTTATTTATTTGCTGGGTTTTGTTTGTTGTCTTTTAGCTGCCGTACAATTTCCACACATTGCTATGATGATCTTTTCCCTTTCTTCCAACATTTGTTAGAATTTTCAAAATGTCACTCACACTAAAATGGGCAAGAAAAGGAGTAGTATGTTTGTGTTTTTATATGCCTAGGCTGGAAATCTGAGGTAAATAGTCACTGAGTATTTTATTTGATCTTGATAATAGTCCTAAAAAGGCAGGAGGAGTAAATAGGCTAAAGAACAAAAGTTTGGTAGTCTGGATACAGACTTAGTTTAATCACAAAGCTTTTACCTAAGTCAGGCTGTCTAACCCTCTCTGTCTCGGTTTCTTAATTTCTAAAACAGACATCTAAAAAGGATGGGGCTTCCCCGGTGGCGCAGTGGTTGAAAGTCCGCCTGCCGATGCAGGGGACACGGGTTTGTGCCCCGGTCCGGGAAGATCCCACATGCCATGGAGCGGCTGGACCCGTGAGCCATGGCCTCTGAGCCTGCGCTCCCGGAGCCTGTGCTCTGCAACGGGAGAGGCCACAACAGTGAGAGGCCCGGGTACCGCCAAAAAAAAGGAAAGGCATGTCAAATCCATAGATCCTTGAGCTTTTTTCCCCTCAATCTCTGTGATTTGGGGAAGAGGTAAAAGATGCCCTATTGTTCCTTTTCTTTATCTGGCTTTTTCTAGTTGTGGTTTTGATGCCAGGGTATCGTTCCCTATTCTGAGATGTATTGAAACCCGTATTCCATTAGTAAAGAGAATGTTCACCTCATCTTCAGGTACACAGACATGCCTCAAGGATTATATCTATCTAAGGTTTGTATAGATGGTATTGAAGAACTGGTGGCTGATAGATAAATCTCTTTCCACAGGAGGTAAGTATGTGTGAAATAAGCAGATCAGTAGGAAAATATCTGCCACTCAGATCATGACCTTTGTTGTTGTTGTTATCAATATGTTTTAGCTTAGAAGTCTTAATGGGGCTCTTGAATTAATTAAATTAATTAACAGGCATTGATCAAGACTTTTCATATGTTAACTATGAGAGTAGGAGGGGTGGTAAAATAAGCACTGAAGTCAGAGTCAGAGTTCTCTGCAGAGATCTTGACTCTGACATGACCCTCCCTGAGAGAACATGAGTGACTCCTTTTAATCTGAGTCTTGGTTTTCTCTTTCATTCTTGGAAGCAATCACAAGTGAGGCCTAAGAATCTGGTTCTCAAGTCAGCTTTCAGAGAGAACCCCAGCTCACCCTCTTGCCATCCTGGGACTTTGTGGAAGTCCTTCAACCTTGCAAAGGCTCAGTATTATCTGTAAAATGGGATAATAATATCTACCACATTAGGGTTATTGTAAAAAATGAATAATAGTTCAGTTAAAGTGCTAAGAACAGGACCTGGCACAGAGTAAGCACTCAAGTAAATAGCAGTTGCTCTTATTAATGTGGCTGTTATCATTATGAATAACAATATTATCATTCTTACACTGACAATGGAGTTGTACAATCTAAATGTTGTAACAAGGGTAACAGCTAACAAGGCACATGGTAGATGATTGGTCAGTGTATTAAAGTAATTAATAGATGTGCAAACAGTAGGATCAAAGAGATCAAAGCAGATTAGGACTTTCTTTTTTATTCTGAGAGCCC